GCGGCCAAATTCCCAAATCCCAGGTGAGAAGGGTGTTTGGACAGTCACAGCTGGATTTAAACTCAGGCTTGGGGGGAGAGCCACCAGCACCAGGCAGCCTGAGACAAGGAGCAGGAGATGAGAGGAAGTGAGATGAAAATTTCCAACTGGAAAAATTACTCTGAAAAGGAGAGAAATGACAGGTGGACAGTGTAGGAATGAGGACTTGAACTGCAGCAAAAGGGATAGCAGGAATTAGGGAAAATGTCGCAACAAATGCAGAGCAGCAGCAGCAGGACAGATCTTCCCAGAAGGCCATGAAGTCTCCATGATGGAGATGTATAAAAGTGAGATTCACTCCCAGGGATGAGAGCTGATCAAGTTGCCTTGGGGAACTCCCGATGTCCTCACAGCCCTGTTTAAGGCTGGGATTTGGGCTTTGTCCCAGGTTTACAAATGAAAGCTCAGACCTGTGAACGGCCCCTGCATCCATCTCCTGTAGGGACACAGGCAGAGGATGGGCTGTGCTCAGGGCTCCCCTTCTCCATCCGTAGCCACAGCCGGGCAGTACCTGGAAACCTCCACCAGGTTCTGGTCGGGGTCTCGGAAGTAGATGGAGGTGATTGGCCCCACAGCGCCAGTTCTGGCCACAGGACCTTCTTCAATGGGCACCCCACAGGYCTGGGGGACACAGGAGAGCAGGGGCTTGGTGATCATGGCATCATCGGGCCCTTTCCCCCAGTCCTGAAAACATGAACTGCCGGATGAGACATTCCCCAGGGAAGCGTCCCTTGGAGGCTCTGGATTCACGTCCCTTGGGATCCCCCTGCCCTGGGGACACCCCGTCCCTGCCTCACCTCCAGGTGCTCCAGYAGCTGCTCCAGGGGCACCGCTGTGATCAGGCACAAATCCGCGGAGCCGGGCACCGGGCACCGAGCCTTGGGCTCCAGCTCCTGCCCAGCCTGGTGCAGGTTGAGCTTCTGCTGGCCAAAACGCAGAGCTTTGCGATTTCCCTGCTCCCAAAGGAAAAGGCTGCAGTAAGGGAGAATTCCTGGGCTAAGGAAGAGCTTAGAAATTCACTTCACTGTCCTGAGTAGTCCTGGAAACCCTGATGGAGCCCTGCCAACTCAGGGCTTTGCTGGGGAAACCCAAAAACTGATCATTACCAGGCTCCTGTGATACTCCTGGAGGTGTGGAGTGGCCCAGGGAATTCCTGCAGCCACGTGCAGTGTTCCAAAGGGAATGCAGGGTTTCAGGGCTGGGTATTCTCCATCCCCCCATAACCAATGGCCAGGCTGGCACTGCCCTGGGGACAAGGCTGAGGACATGGGCTGAGGAGAAGAAGGAGGTTTTGACAGCTCTTTGCAGGATCTTCAGGGGGTTTCTGCAGGCTCAGGGGGCAGCTGAGCCCCCATGGAAATGCARGACAGGGACCACCTAAAGATCAGAGCTGTGGGTTTGATTTTTAGAGAGAGAATGGGAGAAGGAAGAGCTTAGAAATTAAAAAGGTGCTGTGTGTTCATCCAAAACAGGCAAAGGGGCTCGAGGCTTGGGCAGGAGATGAGTTGGAATAATAAAATACTAAATATTAAATATTAATCAACTTCTCTTCCCTTTGCCTATGGAAATATCAAAACTAGATGGCTTTAGGTGATGTGTGGGTTTGAGGAGTCTCCTCCTTCGGTCCTAGAAGATGTTTTTTCAGAGAATCTTTGGGGGATTTTTGTCACTTTGACTCCTTTCAGCGTGTTTGTACTTACCTCTGATTCAGCCTGACTCTCGTGAAACTCAGACCCTGATGGGCTGCAGCTCATGCTGCCCCTGCCACCCCCACCCCAGTCCCGACCCCACCCACAGGGCCCAGAGCCACAGTCCAGTTCCTCCAGACCCAAACCAAGCCTGCACCYGAAGTCACCTTGAACGTCACCACCTCCATGCCCAGGACTTTGGAATAAAAGTCCACGGTGTCCTCGATGTTCCTGACGGTCAGCACGAGGTGGTCCAGGCGCTGGATGAGACACGAGGGTGGGCTCCTGCCCTGCTCCTTCCAGGCCATGCTCCCGGGGCTGGCAACTGGCACGGAAAAGCAGAGAACAGGGAAGTTGGGAGCATCCAGCGACGCAGGAAAAGGGAAAATGGTCCGGGGAGCAAAGAGCAGAGCGGGGATCGCCCAGGTTTTCCTTCGTCCTGCAGGTGGCACAAGCACAGCAGAGATAAATCCTCTCCCCGCCAGAGCCCTGACCCGGGCTGGCTCTGGTGGCACCCGAGAGAAYACCGAGCCTGTCAGAGCCCCTGGATGGGGCCAGGGGTGGGGACCAGCTGGGTGACCTCCCTGAGGGCTGGTGTCACCCAAACGCTGAGCTCCCAACCCCCGTGTGCACCCAGGAAGGGACCGCGTGTGGGATCCTTCMTCCATCCCAGTGTGGGATCCTTCTCCAGCCCCTCCGGGCTCCTCCCAGGTGTGGACACTGGTCCAGGTGGAGCCAAACCAGAGAGTGGAGACAAACTGGGGCTTGGCCGAGCAGCAGGAACCATCTGGGGATGCGTTCTGCCATTTGCCTTCAAGCTGCCAGATGCCACCACCAGGCAGAGGGTGAGGCCAGGGGTTCAGGGTGACAGCACCAGGGTGTGGGGACGCGCCAGCCTGGGGTCCCAGAGGTTCCTGGTGGCTTATGGTGAGTTCAGACCCTCTGGCACTGC